ATATATATACATATATGTATGTAATATCAATAAATTGGAATCGACTAAAATATGTTTCACATTATCCACTATACTGCTCGAAAACTAAAGCTTCGACAAAGTATTTGGGACCAACCTCCGTGGACTGAAAGTACCTATGACGTATACATTCCATATGCATCCTATATGCCCACTTTGAAAATACGCATACATCCTATATAGACACAAATATATCCCTGCATGCCTACATACTCATTCAGATTTCAAAGTCATAACCCTATCTTATTTGTTGTGACAGAGGGATCAGAGTAAACCTTTTGCTGCCACAACCACCCAGTACTTCATCGCAATCTACACGAGGTTTCCTGCATTCGTTGCCTTCATATGATCGGTAGGTTCGGAGTCGTTTTCCACACTACTTTGCACAGGACACAGTGTTTCCATTGGTTTGCTATGCGTTTATTGATTGCATATCTATTTGTGAATGGCTCCGGTGCGCTGGCTTTCTGTGGTCGGTTGGCGTTACATACGCGAGGTATGCGCATGAGCACAGGAAACTACATTGTCTGCTTGAAATGAGCAGAATATGCTTTCATGTGCAGAGGGTACACAGCCTAGTAACGTATCTTGAACTATAAAGTAAAGAATTGAGTATTACTAACATAACACACCATGTCTGACTGCAAACGATCTCATAGCAGTCTTTTAACTCGCCAACTCGAAATCATTTCAATTTCTCTTGATCGAATGCCAATCAAATCAAAGTATTTCTCGATTGCCCCACCCATCGCGTCAACGCAGGTACAACTTAATGGATAAGTCCATGAACCTTCTGAGTCTGATTCCCCAGTACACACCATACACCCTGCGGGCACTCGTGAGACGCTTCTCTGCCACCTTCATTAAAACCATCAGCGGTACTGTGCCCAGTAAGTGCGCCTCTTCCATGTGTGTTTTTCGTCGGAAATGTGAGTCTATGCATGTTAAGCTATTAGTGCCTTTGTGTTCAATGGTATCCAAGTGTCGTTGGGCCTATGTACTTCGGTTGTGCAGGGTACAGCATGTGTACATGCATGAATCTTGGCGTGTTTACTTCAGAATAGCACCCGTGCGAGGCTACGGTTTGCTGCTATGTAGCCCTATAGACTAATCGCATTGCTATTATTCATTGACTGAGTGGTGGTCTATTGCTTCTTCACCCTCTAGTAGACGCAATATGTTACTCTTGTACCTTCAAATTGTGCGGATTGCCCTCAAATTTATAGATCTTGCTCTCGAGGAGCACATGAGTTGGGTGGGTATATGAGGATATATGTTTATAAACAAACCCGATTGGGGTTCGTTGCGAGAACTGTTGCTCATACGCTCGTAAATTTCGTGCGAAAGAAGTCAATATCGACACATGGATCCGTCTGATTTCCATAAAAGTAACAGATATTCTGCGGTTGCCCCAAATCTCCCCAAATTCACAGGCCTCGCCATTGAGGAAAACTTAAGCTGGGTATACGAAGACGAGCAACCGGTGGCTATGAAACAGGAGCGACTGACTGAGATGTCGGTAGGGGACATAGACTTTGTGGATGGTACCAAGATCGCTGCCAAGGTTGTGTAGATGCACATCGCACATCTCACGAACATATATATACCCATTTCACAGATTTACTCTTACATATATATGTGTATATACACAAAGATCATTCTGGTGGATTGTTGTAGGTGTAGATGGGGCTGACTCGATGTTTGGTACTCATAATACAGTCAATGTAGTACAGTGCTACGAAGGGGACATCATCTACATCTTCCACCAAGCAGTCTTTGCAAGGTTCTGTCCATCCGCAAAAGAGGTGCATGACATATAACAGGCGAGATAGGTTGGCGCATGCTTTCCTCCTTCACTGATATTGGCATGGTAGTAGGACAGTAGGTATAGGACGGAAGAGTTATCTCGGAAGACATGTGCAGACGTGCGACGACGTGTATGTGCATATGTATAGGACTCGCCGTGATAGAAAGGGAGGAGCATTCAGCAATGTCAAACACGTATACTCACTGCCCGAGGGATAGGATTGTGCCACGAGTCATGCAGGAGTTTAAATAGTTTGGGATCCTCACCCGATCAAAAAAGAGTGTAAATAGATTGTGTACTACCCAGAGACGAATTGCCATTTTGTCTTGTTCACAAACAAATGGTTACATACCAGACCGGCACAAATTCCGAACCAAATATAAAATATATAAACCACGTACCGAACAATACCCAATAGTGGCTACCCCGATTCACTAACCAAAATCGCCACGGAGATAAATACAAGCTCAAACAAAAATAAATATACAATACCTACGGCATCACAGACCGACACTGAATTCACACCAAAACAAAACAAAAACAAAAAAACAAAAATAACACCGCTTGTAGAACAATTCCCATCTGTGGCGACCACAACCCACCACCCAAAATCACTGGCAGAAGGCGTTCGTTGCACACGACTCAGAACAAAAAAATAAATATACGGTGCCTATAGCGTCCTATATCACAGGCACTCTAGCCGCCGAAAAAGTTTTTATTACTGCCGCAGATGTTCATCAGCATATGCTCGAACAACTTAAGAAATAAATTCAGGCGTAACCCGTAGTTTTAGGGGCATAATCGTAGCACTGGTCAGAGAAAAAAAACAAGGAAGGTGTCTTCACGTTACATATATTTATAAATGATGCACGTGTTCGTAAATGCACTATTTTAAACACATACAATACGTATATGTATTTGCAAGTACGTTGTTCATGCTGGAGCGTTAGACTTTATTTATTGTTTCGCACGGTAAAAGAAAAGGATAAGCATAGGCCTACGAAACATCAACGTATCTCCACTCTAGTCTGGGTTACAAGGTTAATTTGTCAAAGTTACATTGTCGTCTTCTGTCGTATCAGTCACAAGTTTGGACTGGTGCCTACGAATACAAAACATACTTCTAATTATAATTAATATCATTTAATACCGGTTCCTGTGACCGGTTAGAGTATTCGAATTGTAGATGTCCTAAGAGGAGATGCCGGAACAAGAATCAGACCCGGCTACTTAAACTTAAAGCGTGCTATTAACACAGAATCTCAAGTGATGTGCGCCACAACATCAAGCCTCAACCATATAGGCACACAAGAAAATAATCAGTGATGCGAACCCATTCTCACTCAAACAGGCATACGTTCGTGTATCTAATGGGCGAGGAGGGCGTCTTTATTGTTTGTCGTTGTCCTCAGAGCGAGGTGGTTGGCTCGTTTGATATAATCTATTTACAAAACAGACTGTTCGACAGCAGCCCACCCTACTCCGATGCATTTAACTGCAATTCTCCATTAGACGCGCGACTCCGTTATATCGAAGCACCCGAATTACGGTTTGACGGATAATGTCATAGCACAACTACGGCACAATCCACTGTTACACACGCACATATTTTGAAATCTACATTCCAGACATGCGAGCTTTTCTCCCGGCTGTGCGCGTGCGTGTGATACCTATGCACGTCAGAGTCTCCCCGGTAGCGTTTGGGAATACATAGTGGACCGTCCATAGTTTTTTTTGGTCAATTCCGATGGCACTACAGCCAAGATTTCAAGGGTTTTCACGTCAGTTTAGGCACTGCTTGATGTCAAGCAGGGCCATTGTCCGACCATGATGGAGCCAGCATCATAGTAAGACGTGATCCCATTGGTCGCTTGGCACCTAGCGCTGCATCATTTACGTTGGCTTCACCAATACCGCTTTCCGCTCCGATAGTACTCTCAGGCCCGACCGATAGTCTTTCGTCTCTCTCAGTTTTCGCATTCGCATTTACGTGTGTGTTTGCCTGTGAATGTGAATTAGCTTCGGCCGATGCTGACGTAGGAACGCTATCACTCGCCCTGACAATAGTTTCAAGCGCAGGTCTAGTCCGCGATAGCTTACTCTGAGGCATGTTCTTCGGCGCGGTTTTATCTCCCGGTGCAAGCGTTGGGCTCGCGGCCCTCTGTGTCTTGGCTGGGTTGTAGTCGGGGGTGTGGTCGCCACTACTGTAAAACATGCGCTTCTTTGGTGGTAGTATGTTAGGCAGTAAACAGGCACCCCCTGGCACAGGCGAGAACGGGCGGGGAATGGGCTGCTGTTGCGGCCGTGCTGTGTTTGGGAAAGTGGCACTATGGCTCGCTTGCGTCCCGTGCCTGTTGTTGTCAGCTTCCGCTTTCTTTTGAATGGCATACATATGCGCAGGTATACAAGGGTATGTAACACTTCCGCCCCCACCACCCGCACGCGCGGTAGTGTTCGCTGACTGACCACCAATGCTTGTTGCAGCCCTTGGATGCGTGGATGGGTACCTATTCTTCGGTAAGGTATTGCCGGGGATAGCTTCTCCACTCATATTCGCATTCATATTCGTACTCCTCTCCGCTGGAACCTTCGTAGCAGTGTCAACACTCAGCTGAGCGTTCTCTGCAGCACCGTCGCTCGATGATCTGTTGAATTCCTTCACATTGTACACCTGCGTGGGCGTGGGTGCAGCCGGGGCCGTATGTGTACTGTCACTGTGCGTAGCTCCAGTCACTCTCCCAGGAGGTTTCCCACCGATACCCTCAGTTACCTTGAGCTCATCTTTGTGATCTGTATTGGCACTCCTGCTGTCCGGCCTGCTTGACATGTACGCGTGTACTTTGACAGGACTGTGGTGCGGATTGGGCCTGGCCCGAGCACTCCGCTCGCGCGCGCTTTGAGCGAGTATGTGCTTCACAGAGAATTCGTCCAGGGCCTTCTGACGAGAAATTGAGACAGAGTCGTATGTCGCAGAAACAGACACCTGGGGGCTGGTATCTCTAAGTTGTGCCTGTGCATTTAACTTCCTACTCACACCAGCAGCATCGCCTGAGGTGGATAGCGACAGTGACTGGGGTACATCGCTGTTCTTCTGCTGAGTGGTGTCTCCATGTACCGGTTGACAGGGTCTGGTTTGCCCAGCCATCTCCTCGCGCGAAATAGCCACAGTCACAGACACATTGGACTTTCCATCCACCCCTCTCCTCCTTGTCTCGCTTGCACAAGGGTCGATGTCGGAAAGACCAGGTTGCTGTTCATGTGTGGGCGCACTCCTACCTTTAGATTCTTGTATATCCTCCGCATGTGTCGATGTAACCGACGCGCCTAATGATTGCTTTCCAACCACGTTATTGTCGACAGGTGCGTCCTTTAGACGGTGGCTTGCTTCAATACCCACCTCCATACCCTCCCTTTTGGCATCGTTGCTTGTAAGTTGTTGGAGTACACCCTTATCCATACTTCCACGCTCACCCACAGTGCTGTTATCTGCGGCCGTTGCCTTTAGTTTAATTGCACTGGACAAGCGCTCCTTCGACTCATTTTGCTTGCGTATATCTGGCACAATTCCCGAGGGCGAGTTCAATCCCACAGGCACGTCCGCCTTTGTGCTCACATGGTTCTGCACGTCAGTGTCAGCTTCTGGTTCTGATCGAATCTGCGACTTTTGTACTGGCTGCGTACGCGCTTTTATGGACAAACTCGGGTACAAGGTAGCGTTGGGCACGGCATTGGTGGAAACTCGCTTACCAGACGTATCAGTAACAGTGCTCTGTTTCTGATTAAGAGAAAGCCCATTCAGGACATTATTGTCCTCAGAGGGTAGGCGGGCGTAATTCAGCAGCTTCTTGGACGTTTCAGTTAGAACGTCTTCGGTCGACTTCGGTGTTTTCAGACCTGCATATGTAAGGTACGTGTCTATTGTTTAGTCATTTGTGCAAAACACTGTTACATAAACGCTATCATCGAAAGCAAAATGAATATGTATTTATATACGTACTTGAACTTGAGCGAAGTAATAGATCGAATGCGTCGATGCATAGTTCGTTATTGTACATATATCTCGTTTGTACGCGCCTCGCAATGCGCCCACATGTGTACAAGAACACGAATAAAACTATATCCGTTATGTATCTGTTTATTGGGTCGGGTATGTATGTATCGCACTTTTACATGTAGGTATGCGAGTGACAAGAAAAGAGTTTATGCGAACGTGATGGTGCGCGGATGTTGTCGGTCAGATATATGTTTGATGAGTGAACTATTTGCCGATAAGTAGTATGATTGTTCATGTGTAGATTGTGTGCACGTAGTTTTAGTAGTCGTGTGTGTATTTATGCCGGCAATAAGTGCGCAGTGGAGGCGTACTTTCAAATAGGTCTACGGTGTGCGTGCCGTGCGTGGACAAAGTGTTTTTGTGTGCGATCGTGTATAGAAAGCTACAAGATGCCGCATGCATGTGCGAGTCGGCGATATGCGTGTGCGTGAATTTGGAAAAGATATTCACCTTGATCATACGATTATATCTGATTCGGTTGTACATGGATCTCCTGGGGTGCTATTTAGATGATCTTACGTACGCATGTCGGAGTGCACATACTCCAAGATGCAATTTTGAGTGTGCCTATACATATTTGTACTCACGGATGGTGGTATGATGCTTTCTCACTTTTGACGATGACCTTACCGCCATCTAGCAGGTGGCCGGTTCATTTGTATTATACGAACCGCCGCATTCACATACAATTAAAGGTATTCGTCCGAGATATCGTGATAAAGCATACACACACATATATATATATATATATATATATACAATATAATATTAGTGCAGATAATGTGGAGTTGTAATACAAACGACCAACTTATGTACGCAATCATGCCACACGCATAGCCTCCATTCACACACACCATCTGATAAGAACTTGCACACGCACATGAACAAAACAAAGCAAATGAAATATAAAGACATATGCATTCATACATACGATCAAAAGCGGCGCGTATCTGACCTCACACATGCATGTTCATAAAACAAATACACACACTAGACTGACTTTGTGAGCAGAATGTCGCCATGCACAAACACACAGCATCCACTTACTTGGAGTGGTTTCGTCAGCAGCCCCTTTGATTTCGGTGTTTCCACGTCCATTCTCGGGTTTCTGATCAGACACGGGTACGTCTGCTTTCCGCCGCTTATCCCTGTCCTGCTTAGTATTGCTTCGAATATCTGTGTCGTTGCCGTACACACCAACACCAATATCTACACCTGAGCCTAGAGGCTCAGAAACCACACCGTCACGTGGTACAACACTGACTTCTTCGTCTGCATTTGATCCCTCCACGCTTGTATGGTTGCCTGTGCCGTTACCTACACCACCACTACCCCTCCTACTCGAGTGTGCACTTAAAGACCGGCTCCGAGCCTCTGTGCGTATCCCATTCGTACCTAAACTCATATCATCGCTATGCGTCGCCCTGGCCTTCTCCCTTTCTCTCTCTTTGCCTCGGTCGCGTTCCTTTTCTCGGCTTCGGCTTCGTCTACTCTTCTCACCTCCGGACTGCTTCTTATTCTTTATTGTCGCACCATGAGCCCCATTACTCCCACCATCCTCGTGGCTTGCCGGTGTTTTATACTCCTGTGTGTTATATTCGGGCCCCTTGTTCGGCACTCTGTCGCGCTCTTTCGATCTGCCCCTGTGCTTCTCCGTATCCTTACCCTTCGGCCTCACCCGCTTTTCTTTTCCTCGCACAAGCTTCAACTTCCGCGGCGAACTCCCAGCATCCCCGACCTCTGATTCCTCATGTTTCAAATCAAGAGAGCTTGCATTACGCGCCTCTGGTCCATTTCTCTCCTCTCCTTTTCGTGCACTGACACCAACACTTCCACCAGACTTGCTGGAGCCACTGCTTCCCTGCCTTGTGCCCGAACCCCTCCCCTTATCTCTGCTTGCAGTCCTCTCTATATCCCTACTCCAGCTGCGTTCCCGGTCCTTGCTCCCCTGTGGCTCAGTGTCCTTGCCTTTACTCTTCTCTAGCGCAGTACGCTTTATCCGCCTCTTCACATCCACGCTCTCATCATCCGCCCCTTTCGAGCCCCTGTCACTTTCTACTCCGGTACGTCTCGCATCCTGCTCCAGCCTACTCCTCGGCCGGCTTGAGCTTGTGCCTGGCAAACTCTTCCCACTCACACCACTCTCATGCACAGATGTATCTTCATGTACTGTAATACTCTCTAAACAAGTACTGCTACTCTGCCTATGTGAAGTGTCCTTACGCGCTTTCTCTTCCCGCTTGACACCCATCGAAGATGCGGGTCGTGAGTGGAGTCTGCTTGTGGAGTCTCGCTCAATCTTGTCCTTCCTGCTCTTCTTCACTGTGCCAGATTCGCGTTCCCTGTTTTCTTTCCCGATTTTCTTCTCTGAGCTGTTGGCTCGCTCCCGCTTATCCTTAACCTTTTTGTCTGTGCCCACAGTCACGCCTACCGTACATTGTGGCGCTAAATCCATCGCATCTGTGGATTTACTATCTGCGCGAGACCTCCTATCCTTGTCCAAAGAGTCCGCTGAAGCACTGTGTTTCAGTACAGGCCGGGTTGCCCATGTATCCACATCTCTCGCAAGATCCTTCTGCTTCACATTATTTCTATGATTCTTTTTCGCCGTATCTGCGTCTAACCCGCTCGATACTGTACGACTTGCCTTCGAGCTCGATTCCTTACTACCAGTTGTATGCGTTTCGGCAGCGAGGTTGCGCTTTGTCATTGCTGCATGTGCGTGTTCTAATGCTCTATCCAAGGAGTCGTCAGAAGCATGCTCGAGGCCCTCTTCTGTATCTTCCTCTTTCATACGCACACGCTCAGAGATTTTCTCTACTATCCGTCTGGGCGAATCACCTTTCCGAGATTTGTGTGGTCGTTTGATGTCTGCAAGCCAACAGCGTAAAAACGAGACCGATATGACAGTTAATAGTTACAAATCAATAAGCATCAAGTCCACACGGCGGAATGAGGTATATTCCTCACTGATTATGTCGACTATAAGGCGACTACGATATGGAGTAGTAAGCTGAATAAGAAGCTAGATACAGACGGGTACTTGAAGTTTCTTTTTGTTTCGAGGTTCAACTAATCCCCTCCCACCCTGGTACTGGTCTGGTGAAGGATCAGGCCAAGAAAATAGCATTGCGAAGAGTGACAAATTAGAAATCATTTGTTTTTAAGGGGGGAAGGGGTCCCGAGCTCCAAGTAGTTTTATTCGAATCCACGCAAAAGATATACAGTGTTACATACAACACAGGTGGCGAGATAATCTCCGCCTACAGCCAACAAAACGCTAGTTTTTCCATACAAGGAAACAAACAAACAAACAAACAAAAAAATTCAGAAAAACGACCATACCGTTCTTGGGGTCGGCTTCTACCGCGGTACTTTTATCTCTAGCCTTAGCGCTGCTTTCAGGCAGCGTATCACAAGTCGCGCGTTCGGGATCACCTGACGATGTTGGTAATCTTACTATTAGTGTCGATGATTTGCCAGCAGGCACGCTACTGCTATTATGAGGGTCGCTATTACGCCTCGCTCTTTCCTTCTCACGCTCTTTCCTCCTCTTTATTTTTTGCCTCAGCTTTTCTGACCCCCTGTCTCGACTGGAGTCCCGCTCCCTGTCTGTGTCTCTCCCATTCTCCCCATCTGTACCACTCAACCTACTCCTGGCGCGCTCTTCATGTGATATCTTCAGGACTCCCTTCACTTTTCTCTCTCGATGCGCCGGTGTATTTGCATCTCTTTCTCGTTCACTCTCGCGTCCCCGAGACGTCTCTCTTTTCACTCTATCTTTTGTATCCTCATTCTCCTTCCCATCAGGTCCCAACGAAGGGTTCTTCCGTGAATTCACGTTCTCCAGTACCCTCTCACGACTCGCACATTTCCGGTCTCCATTTTTATCCGAAATCCTTTTCTCATGCCCACTTTTCCCTCTCCTCGCTTCCGCTCGCGCTTCAGCCTCACTCCCCGTCATCAGCGTATCCTGGCTGGGTTCTCGATGTATAACTGACTTCTCACGACTATCTCGTTGAGCGTCGCCCTGCTTATCCCTACTCGACTTGGACACCTTCTTTTCCACAGCAGGTGCGGCCTTCCTGTCCTCTGCCTCGGACGAATCCTCCGATGTGGAGCTTATCACTCGTTTGCGTCGTTTGCGCTTCATTTCTTCGGCCGCCGATTTCCCCAATGCCACCTCACTCCCGCCTCTCTTCCTCGCAACAGAGGCATTCGACTCCTTCGAGTGACCACGTTCGCCTGCGCTGACTTGTATATCATTTTTGTTACGTATACGTGCACTAGAAGTGGCACTTCCAATACCCGGGCCGGTCATATCGTGCGCATCCGTCTCCGCTCCTGTACTTGGTGCGTGTTCTGGGTTGGACTGAATATGAGAAGATTTTTCGGTCGCCGTATCGCTCTCGCTCCCATGTTCTCGCTTGTCGTTCCTCGCCCCACTTGTCTGCTTGTCTATAGCGATACTTTCATGCACCCCTCCATCACTCTCACCGGGCTGCATCTCCCCATCCTGTGATAGCATCTTCCTACTTTCCGTACTCCGTTTCCATCCATCCTCCTTGTGCATCGTACTCTTCGACTTGCTCTTCCCCTCAGCATGTTCATCCAATTCACTATTATCCTCATTTCCTAATCCTAATTCTTTCGTTTCCTCGGCTTCTACCCCTAATTCTCCCTTCTCCTCCTCTCTCATTCCTACTTTTTTCGATTTCTTTTTCTCCGCACTCCTGTGTCTACATCGGTCGCGGTCCGCCGTATCCTGCGAATCAGAGCTCGATGTAGATTCATCGCCCCTGTCCGGCCCTATCCTGACCTTACCGGACTTTCGCACCTGTTCATCTGTCAGTATCTGGGTCTCCTGCACCCATTCTTCATACCTACTGCTCCATCCTTTGTAATGGGCCAGGTAGTGCGGTACGGGTGGATTACGCATAAGGGACTGCGAGCCTCTGGCGCCTTTTCGTCCGGTATATTTGAGAGATCGCTTGATGATCTGTGGCCAGCGCAACGTGCAAAGGAGTACAAAAATATTAGAAAACAGGACTGGAAATATAATACGTTCCATGCCACAAAGTCAAAGGGCATATCAAAGGAAGGATACACAAAACAGACGAGGAAGTATTGGCACAAGTTCGAAAAAGAGACAAATAAAGCAATGTGAGCAAATAAGGTGCATATCTGCAAAACAAGAAGTGGTTTGTCACATGCTGATACAGAGACTCACGCCCGCCGAAAATCCAGCAACTGATATACTGAAACCATCGGAAAAGCATTAAATTTCGTTAGCAGAGGTGTATGCCTAGTGATGAGCCCTGATACACTATAGCCTAAAGTGGGGTATTTCGTACGAATATACACTTGGTAAATCTAAGTATCACCCGCGCTTGAACACACCAACTTAATCGACGCAGCCCTTCCACCACATGTGCCAACATGAGGACCATTGCTCACGCACTAAGTCATACCTTTCCAGCATATATCTGACCGTCATCAAAAGACATGGCATATATCTTCTCCCCGACCTGTCTCGAGTACAAAAACGAGAATTCCTGCTCCAATTCCTCAGGTAGAGTATCGAAATCGGCATCGCCACGGTCACCGCGTGTCCGCCTGCTACCAGCAGCTGGCCTTCCCGGCCGTTTATTGGCACCCCCTCCACCTCGGCTGTAGAAATTGTGTTCAATGACTGAGACAAAACAATAATATGTATATGTACATGCACAAATCGACGTATACACACAAATCTATAGGCATATGCTTACTAAAGCACACCCACATACGATTGTGTTCATGATTGAGACAAAACAATAACGTGTATATTTACATGCACAAATTGACGTGATAACCTCAAATCTATGGGCATATGTATACTAATACACACTCATACATACGTTTGAAATATTCTTAGGGATATTTTATTTATGCCTACATCCAGAAACAAGATTTCAGATGAATATAAATGAAAGAAATCATACATAGCATGATCGCGTCTGGCGGATCAACGCATACAAGTGCACATTCAAATAAAATAAAATTTATATATACACACACAGAAATGAATACCGGGATACATAAATACATAAATATATACATAGATATATTCATACCTAACACACAAAGATACATACATACATACATACATATATATATATATATATCCATTCGCTTGGTGGAAAATATCAATACACAACAACACACACACACACACACACACACACCTACTATACGTAAACGCACACATATACCAACACACACTCACCCACATACATATGTATGCTTATGCACTCACAGACACAGACACAGATCCAGACCCAAAAACTGATATACAAGAATACATATACACATACACGTGCATTTTACATATACATACGTACATGCATACATGCATGCATACATACATTTATGTATATAGATACATATACATA